TTTTGATGATTTTCAGGTCAAGTTGAATATGGGTCACCTGGAGTGAAAAACTAGGTCACACTGCTCACTGGAAAATCCTTGTTAACACTCTAGTTGTCACATTTTTGACTCACCTGTCATGAAACTTGGTCAGGATGCTTGTCTAGGTAATTGTTCGGATGAGTTTAATGGGTCAGGTGAGCGATCTAGGGCCATCTTTGCCCTCTTGTTATTTAGATGAGGCCCAATTTTGTATCTTAAATTATTTGATAAGGCCCTTTCCAATGTGTTATGTGGTGAGTTTCTTTTATTAATTATTGAAAGGAATCATTAATAGTTAGTTTTGTTGGGTAAACACCTGTTCATTTAATTATATGCAATTTTTTTTCTTCAAAGTGACCAAACAACATTAATTTTATTCAAATGAAGCATTTACAAAACATTGTAAACTTCACCTCTGTCTTAATTTGATGTATTCTGGACTTTTATATGTGGTAAATTATTACATGCTTTTATTCAACCATTATTTTGATTCTTTTTCTCTTAAATTTTGATTGATATGGGTTCAAATATAATATGCTTTTGTTCAACTAATATTTTTATTCTTTTTGTCCTGTAAACAGCTGTATTTTTGTAATCATTTCGCCAAACTTTGAATTTGGAACAGTCCATTAAAAGTTAAAGAGATTTCAATTAGGGCTGCCATTGATGGAAGATTTTGTAACGATATATCAAAAGCCAAAAATCTAACGATAATCGAATTTCCCAATTAGCTTAAGTATAGTGGAAAAATTTTTTAAAAAGTTATTAAACGGACTCCAAATTTGATTTTTTAAAAGTCTAAAAAAACAATACATTTGAATTTCTTACTTAAATGAGCGGGGGCCACTTTAAACAAAATATATGCAAAATTTAGTTAAAAATATATTTTAAATAAAATTAAAAATCATTTTTTATCTTTTTCTTAGGCCTTTTAATTGAACAAAAGCATTTAAACGCTTTCTTTTGGACTTATTTTTTTTTAAAAATTTGAATATATCATTCTGGAAAAAAACAGTTGTTTCGAATATTTTAAAATTTCACAAAGATTAGTGGTGTAAACCTTAGTAACATCAAATGGTACAATTATCTGGAAAAAATATTTTCAGTCCCATCATGTCAAAAAACCTCAGTGGAGTGCCTTTAATATACTGTCACCTTTGTGTTATGCACAAGCATGTTTTATTACTTACAAACAGCAGACCAAAATAAAGTATTCTTCCTTGGTTTCATATCTTACAGACCTCTGAATATATAATCGAGTGTTCAAACAAGGGAAAAAAAGTGTTGTTTTTTTACAAGGAAAAAAGTGTTTTTTTTCCCCTTTCCCTCTCTATAATCTTTCGTTCCCTACGAAAAAAGAGAGATAGAGAGATATTTTCACCAAACATGCAGAAATGGGTTTTAAATTATATCAATATTCTACATTCTGAATCAATATTGTATTGATTGTTGAATATTGATGATATATATTGATTTTGCGATATTCAATGGCAGCGTTTATTTCAATATTGAAGCAGCCAACTGTATTGAGCCAGGTCTAAGATTGCCTAGATGTGTATACTATACTATGGTGGCTGATTTGGTACACTTTTGTGCACGTTAACAGTCTTTCGTCTAGTCATCCTGTCGCTAGCGACAATACGTCAAAGCTCCAAACGGCGCATTCTAGAAAAGCTTGTTGTTGCGATGTTACTTGGTTTATAAGCCAAACCTTCATTTTGAACTGAGCGACAATATGACATCGCAACAACACGCCGCATGACAACGCGCCATTTAGCGTGCATTGTAAGCGACAGGACGACAAGACGAAAGTCAGACAACGTGCCATTTGGTGCTTTGTCGTGTTGTTGCTAGTGCCAACTAGACGCATAAAAGCTTACCAAATCAGCCACCATAGTATTCAGCCCAGACCAGGCTCTGTACAGACAACATTCAATTTTAAAAGGTAAAAGGATAAAAAGCACAATGTTAACATGCTTTTCTTAACCAATATTGAAATATTTTGTATAAAAGAATAGTATAATGAAAGACCCTCTGAATTTGTTTTCATATTATGAATGTATTGCCTGTGTAAATTGCATAATTATTATAGTCTTTTTCTAGGAATGACAGTCATTTACTTTGACATGTGGATGATTATTTTTTTTTCATTTTATATAATTATGCAAAATATAACATTTATGGAACAATCTTTTAGATAAAGTGATTTTAAGTGTTCTTCACTTTCCCCATCACCCCCTTCCCTTTCCCCATTACCCCCTTACCTTTCCCCATTAACCCCCCTTCCCTTCCCCCATCCCCCTTCCCTTCCCCATCCCCCTTCCTTCCCCATCCCCCTTCCCTTTCCCCATAACCACCCACCTTCCATCTTCCCAATCACCCCAATCTTTCACACTTCCCCATCAACATCCCACCTCCTTCCACCTTCCCATCACCCCTCAGTAAAAAAAAGATAAGAATACAATGAAAAAATTAATAACTTGCATCACTTTTATATTCCAAGAACGGATATAGTGTTGTATTCCTGTCCTAAATTTTGAACCTGAGACAATTTTGCGTTTCAAAGGAAATGTCCTGACTTGTGAACCTATCTTACGACTGATTCAAATGGCTAATAGCAATGTAGATGAACATTAACATATTGCCGGATTGTGTTTTCTTAGGAGAGCAAATTTAATTGAAGTCCTATGTGTTTAAAAGATACTTATGTTTATTGGAACCATGACAGACTTAAGATAGTCCTAAAGTTGGTCTTATGTCCTTGGACTTAGGATACACTTAGGACTTTCTATTTAAAGCTGGTCCTAGCTGTGTCTTGTTGGCAAAGTAGATGGTTCTCACTTCAAAAAACTGTCTTGAAAGGTAGCAAAAGGATTAAATTCATTCCTTTTAAATTAATGACCAACAATATTTCCATACAAATATATACAATATTTATCTCCCACCCCCCCCCCCCCCCCCCCCCGGATTTCCTGTTTCTGTCTTAAACAGAAAAATATCAGTATCTTATCAGCTACATAAATATCTAAAAAACCTTGTATCTTTTAACATTTTAACATGAGATTGGATGGAACTCAGCATGTCTGTTACAAGTGATTCCAATAAAAACAACTCTGTTATCACAACCACTGATCTGTGCGTCAAGTCAAGTAGACCATGTATCAAGGTGCACCTGCCTTATGTCTAAATTCTTCTTATTTTTTAACCAATTTTTCTGCTCTTTTTTTTTCCTCTGGATTTTATTTTATAATGTTAAAAGATAAGGCCTTGTTGTAAACTATAAATTCACCTCCTTTATAAATTATTTTTTATGTGTGATTTAGTTTTATAATTGTGTAAGATGAGAGAATCCAAATTATTTATATTTCTGTGCAAGTAATTTATATTTAAAATCTTTTTATACTTTTAGTACTAGTATATCTTTCATTGTAAAAAATATCTTCTAAACCTTTATGTTTTACATTTTGGGATTTGACTATGAAATATGTTATATATCCTATCACTGTTAATTGCTCCTTGTGAATGCTAATCATTTGAGCCATGTCACGACGAAACCAACGTAATGCGTTTGCGACCAGCATGGATCCAGACCAGTCTGCGTATCTGCGCAGTCTGATCAGGATCCATGCTGTTACAAGTAGAGAAACTGAGAGCAACAGCATGGATCCTGATCAGACTGCGCGGATGCGCAGGCTGGTCTGGATCCATGCTGGTCGCAAACCCACTATGTTGGTTTTGTCGTGACGTGGCTCAATTTTGTTTAAAGGCACATTTTGCTTACAAAATACATATTAATTTTTTTATCAAACATGTGTTTAAAGCTGCATGCCTCCAGATAAGACAAAATATTTCAATAAAAACCTGAGAAATATTAACTTACATTTTATGAAAAGAAAACCGATTTAAAATTTATGTAATAATTTACATGTTATGTGCGAATAATGGTAGAATTTTTTAGTATTAATCACCATATTTCTACTGCGTTACTAATGCAGTAAAGGCTATTTTCAAATATTTTGACCTTATTTTGGTAATTTGCATTGGATGTGAGTAATGTGTTTGTAATGTGCAATTCGCTTCCCTTTGATTTCTTCAGAATATTTAAATACATTTTCAAAAATTTCATGAAAATTTTGCTTGAATCTGGAGGCATGCTGCTTTAATAATATTTTTTTGATTGAGACCATGTTTCTTGTTTAACGTTACAAAACCGACAAATGTAACACAGAACATGCATTAATGTCATGGAAAGGTAGAAAAATATAAAACAATGTAGTATTTTGACTTACATTCAAAATACTAATTCAATATAATTATACAAAATGCTAACAGAACAAAAGAAGCAAAAGATCTTCCTCTATATGGCAAATGAGTATTTATTTTTTTTAAATTGAAACAAAATATGAAACATGAAATTTCAAAAATAAAATAAAAATGCTAGTATTTTTGAAGCACAATGGGCCTTTAAAAATATAATGTATTTCACATTATGGGATAGATGTCTTGTGAGACTGTACTTGTAGGGTAAAAAAATGCTGATTGGGTAAGCACAGGTTGCTTATATGGGGTGTGAGAGATCAAAGAAGATTTTTCCAAACAATTGACTCATACATGTGAACTGTCCCAATTTGAGTGGGAGACTCCCTCTTTCTCCTGTCAAATTTTTAAATATCTTTCTTAGAATAAGTGGTGTTTTTAAAAAAATAAAAAAATCTCCCTCTTTTTCATTTCAAAAATTTCCTACTATGTCTATTGTCAATTAAAAAATCTCCCTCTTTTGGAAGTAAATTCTTCCTCTTGAACATTGAAAGAAGTTCACATATATGTAAACTCATTACTGATGAGAGATTTGCCCCCTTATTAGCAAATATTCTGGAAATATTACTGGTTTTTGTATGTACATTTTTGAAGGATTTCAATGATTGTATTTATATTTAACATGTAAGTATGTTGTGTAAAAATTTTCACTATTTTTTCAGGTGTTGATATTTTCGTAATGTAATTGTTGGCAAAAAATAAATGAGCTCAAATAACAACAACAACAACAACTCCTCCTACCTGGAGGTGAGCGGCCAGGAGGCAAGTGACATCTTGGCTGCTGCTTTACAACAGATGGACGGAATTATTGCAGGTACTTAAGAGCCTTTTGTATAATGACAGGTATAGTGACAAATGAGCCGAGTCACGACAAAATCAACATAGAGTGTTTGCGACCAGCATGGATCCAGACCAGCCTGCGCATCCACACAGTCTCATCAGGATCCATGCTGTTCGCTATCAGTTTCTCTACTTGTAATAGGGTTGGTAAGCGAACAACATGGATCCTGATCAGACTGGTCGGATGCGCAAGCTGGTCTGGATCCATGCTGGTCGCAAACCCATTATGTTGGTTTTGTCGTGACGCGGCTCAAATGGATAGTTAAGTTATCAGGCCACCTCATTGTTCTCCTAGTTCTTTTGCCACGTAAGTGATTTTAGCCAGGAAACGGCCTTTACTGAATGAATAAGATCAAAACTATTGTTCTTATTTGCCACATTTGTAACCAATTTAATACTAGGCTATTTACATGAGGTTATAAAACTGTTTTTAGATCTGTCTCAGATTTCAGGATTTTCATTGGTCAATGCACATTCTCAGTGATCAAATATCTTAGGTCTGAGTTTTAACTCAGAAGATTTCTTGAAAACCTTAGAGTTTGCTTAAGTTCAGTGCGTTGATGTTCAATAACATAGAAATTAACAGTAGTGATTACATTGTACTTCCAAATTATAATTGTTTAAATTAGTTATGAAGTTTAGCAATTAGATACTTTATTATTGTGAATTCACATGATTTTGTGGGCATGAAATTTTGTGGCTGTATCTAAGGACATTTTTGTGGGTTATAAATTTGTGGATAAAGTAGATGCAATATCCCAAGAAATATTTTTGTGCCCCCACTTAATTGGTGGGCATTTAGATTTACCCTTGTCCGTCCGACCGTCTGTCTGTTCGTTCTCTTTTGTGTCGCACGTAACTCAAAAAGTATTTGACCTAGAGTCATGAAACTTTACAGGAATGTTGATCAGCATGTGTAGTTGTGCACCTGGGGAATGTTGATCAGCATGTGTAGTTGTGCACCTGGGTATTTTCGTCTGGATATATTTAATATTTTTAGAGTTATTGCCCTTGACTAAGTAAAATTTCAGCAATTTTCAACTTGTGTTGCATGTAACTGAAAAAGGATTTGACATAGAGTCATTAAACCTTACGGGAAGGTTGCTCAGCATATTTAGTTTTGCACCTGGGGTTTCGCTTGTGGATTTATCCAGTGTTTGTAGAGTTAGTAAAAACGGTTTCATTATGTTGTTATTTGTGTGCTTGAGTTAGAATCTATTCGGTATTTGAAAAGTTCTAGCCCTTTACTTACTAAAAGATTTTTAGTTTTCAAAAAATATTTGACCTAGAGTCATAAGATTGACAGAACAGTGGCGCGGTGAGGGCACCAGTGTCCTATGGACACATTTCTAGTTAAAGTGTGATTTCTTGTTGTAGCAAAAGACTCCACCAATCTGTTCCCCAGATGGATTGGGGTGTCCATGGTCTAGTGGCTAAGGTTGTTGACTTCAAACTGTTTGCCACTCACCAATGTGGGTTCGAACCCGATAGTGACTTTGAATTCTTTCATGTGAGGAAGCTGTCCATCTAGCTTAAGGAACGTTGGTGGTTCTACTCAGGTGCTTGTTTGTTTCCAGAATAAAGCACAGAAGGGCACCTGAGGTCTTCCTCTACCAGTAAAGCTGGAACTTCGCCATATCACCTATATTGTGTTCGTGTGTGACAAAAAACCCAAACAAACAAACAAACATATCTTCATGTGGGTAATTCATAATCCATTCAGCCTATTAAGATGCAAAATGGAAAAATCTTTTTTTTATACCCCCACACAACAAAGTTGTATGGGGGGTATACAGGAATTAGGTTGTCCGTCCGTCCGTCTGTCTCCCCATCCGGCCTCCGTCAGTTTTTCCATGTCCGCCCAATAACTTAAAATTCCTTTAACACAGTCTTCTTATTTGGTATTTAGACTGGTCATGATTAGTAGAAGACACATATTGATTTTGAGATCACCAGGTCAAAGGTCAAGGTCACATGGAACTTGACAAAAGCTTGTCCGCCTAATAACTTAAGATTCCTTTGACCCACAGTCTTCATATTTGGCATAGAGGTTGGCCATAACCATTAGATGACCCCTATTGATTTTGAGGTCACAAGGTCAAAGGTCATAAGGACCTTGAAGATAAAAAGCTTGTCCGCCTAATAACTTAAGATTCCTTTGACCCACAGTTTTCATATTTGGCATGGAGGTAAGTCGTGATTAGTAGATGACCCCTATTGATTTTGAGGTCACCAGGTCAAAGGTCAAGGTCACAGGGGCCTTGACTTCAAAAAGCTTGTCCGCCCAATAACTTAAGATTTCTTTGACCCATAGTCTTCATATTTGGCATTGAGGTTAGTCATGATTAGTAGATGACCCCTATTGACTTTGAGGTCACCAGGTCAAAGGTCAAGGTCACAGGGGCCTTGACTTCAAAAAGCTTATCCGCCCTATAACTTAAGATTCCTTTGACCCACAGTCTTCATATTTGGCATGGAGGTTAGTCATGATTAGTAGATGACCCCTATTGATTTTGAGGTCACCAGGTCAAAGGTCAAGGTCACAGGGGCCTTGACTTCAAAAAGCTTGTCCGCCCATTAACTTAAGATTCCTTTAACCCACAGTCTTCATATTTGGCATGGATGTTGATCATGACTATAAGGTGACCCCTATTGATTTTGAGGTCACTGGGTCAAAGGTCAAGGTCACAGGGACCTTGACAAAAAAAGCTTTTCTTCTCAATTGCTAAAGAATGTCCTGTCCGCAATGTATTGATTTTGACATTTTCACATTTGGAGCATGTAGAATACATAACTTAGCAATGCACTGGCTTAGTAACCTCAGATTTGGCAGGGAGGTTGTCCTTGAGCTCTAAATGGCCACTGTTGATTCTGACAAAGTGGTATGTGGGGGTATTCACGCCATCATAGTGGCAGTTCTAGTTTATGACTAGTACGTGACTGTGTCAAATGTCAAGGTCACAGGGATTTTTACTTTAATAAGCTTGTCTGCTCAAATGCTTAAGAATGCCTGTCCACAGTATATTGATTTTGACATTTTCACATTTGAAGCATGTATAATACATAACTTAGCAATGCACTGGCTTAGTGACCTCAGATTTGGCAGGGAGGTTGTCCTTGAGCTCTAAATGGCCACTGTTGATTCTGACAAAATAGTGTTAAATAAAAGAATCCCTAAAGAAAGCCCAACGCGGCAAAAATTGAAAATGTTGCAGGCTAGGTTTGATTAAGCCTGTTCATGGACGGTACTGTATAGTGCAAACTACCGTCCACATCCCCCTAGCACCGGCTTGAGCAGAATTCAACATTTAACATGAACTGGTAAAATTTAGAATTTTGAAACATCCGCAAATGTGTTCATGTGGCAGTTATCATGGAACCTTCAATGTGACACGTTAGTGCCATTCCATGAAAAGCGGTATATGGTCCCCAGGTAAAAGTGGTATGAGGGGGTATTCCACCATGACAGTTGCAGTTCTAGTTATACCCCCGCACAACAAAGTTGTATAGTGGAATCAGCTTGTCCACCCGGCCCTCTCGATGTCCGACCATCCGGCCTTCCAACGGTTTTTAGCTCACCTGAGCATGCTCAGGGTGAGCTTTTAGGATCGATGATTGTCCGTCGTCCGTCCATCGTCCGTCCGTTCACATTTTGTTGTTAACACTCTAGCGGTCGCATTTTTGCCTCAATCATCATCAAACTTGGTCAGGATGCTTATCTAGTTGTCATCTCGGATGAAAACCTAGGTCACAAGAGCTAAAAATAGAAAAACCTTGTTAACACTCTAGAGGTAACATTTTTGCCTCAATCATCATCAAACTTGGTCAGGATGTTTGTCTAGTTGATAGCTCGGATGAGTTCGAACATGGGTCATCTCGGATGAAAAAGAAGGTCACCGGAGCTAAAAATAGAAAAACCTTGTTAACACTCCAGCGGTCACATTTTTGCCTCAATCATCATCAAACTTGGTCAGGATGCTTATCTAGTTGATAGCTAGGATGAGTTCGAACATGGGTCATCTCTGATGAAAAACTAGGTCACAAGAGCTAAAAATAGAAAAACCTTGTTAACACTCTAGCGGTCACAATTTTGCCTCAATCATCATCAAACTTGGTCAGGATGTTTGTCTAGGTGATAGCTTGGATGAGTTTTAACATGGGTCATCTCGGATGAAAAAGTAGGTCACCGGAACTAAAAATAGAAAAACCTTGTTAACACTCTAGCGGTCACATTTTGCATATATGGCATCAATCATCATCACACTTTGTCAGGAAGCTTGTCAAGGTGATAGCTCGGATGAGTTCGAACATGGGTCATCTCTGATGAAAAAGTAGGTCACTGGAGCTAAAAATAGAAAAACCTTGTTAACACTTTAGCGGTCCCATTTTTGCATCAATCATCATCAAACTTGGTCAGGATGCTTGTCAAGGTGATAGCTTGCATGAGTTCAAACATGGGTCATCTCAGATGAAAAACTAGGTCACCAGAGCTAAGAATAGATAAACCTTGTTAACACTCCAGCAGTCACATTTTTGCCTCAATCATCATGAAACTTGGTCAGGATGCTTATCTATTTGATAGCTGGGATGAGTTCGAACATGGGTCATCTCGGATGAAAAACTAGGTCACAATGCCTAAAAATAGAAAAACCTTGTTAACACTCTAGCGGTCACAATTTTGCCTCAATCATCATCAAACTTGGTCAGGATGTTTGTCTAGTTGATAGCTTGGATGAATTTGAACATTGGTCATCTTGGATGAAAAACTAGGTCACAGGAGCTAAAAATAGATAAATCTTGTTAACACTCTAGTGGCTACTGTTTTGATCCAAATATCCTGTAAATTAGTCTGAAAGTTTGTTTTGATGATTTCTAAGTCAAGTTCGAACATGGGTCATCTTGGATGAAAAACTAGGTCACACCGCCCAAATATTGAAAAACCTTGTTAACATTCTAGTGGTCACATTTTCGACTCAATTATCATCAAACTTGGTCAGGATGCTTGTCTAGGTAATTGCTCGGATGAGTTCGAAATCGCATGTGAAACTAGGTCACCAGAGCTAAAAATAGAAAAATCTTGTTAACACTCTAGTTGCTGTTTTGATCCAAGTATCCTGGAAATTGGTCTGAAAGTTTGTTTTGATGATTTCTAGGTCAAGTTTGAATATGGGTCACCTTGGTAAAAAACTAGGTCACACTGCTCAAATATGGATAATCCTTGTTAACACTGTAGTGGTCACATTTTTGACTCACCTGTCATGAGACTTGGTCAGAATGCTTGTCTAGATAATTGTCTGGATGAGTTTGATGGGTCAGGTGAGCGATCTAGGGCCATCATGGCCCTCTTGTTTCTTGTCCACCCAATAACTTAAGATTCCTTTGACTCACAGTCTTCATATTTGGCATGGAGGCTAGTCATGATTAGTAGATGACCCCTATTGATTTTGAGGTCACCAGGTCAAAGGTCAAGGTCACAGGGGCCTTGACATCTCAAAGCTTGTCCGCCCAATAACTTAAGATTCCTTTGACCCACAGTCTTCATATTTGGCATGGAGGTTAGTCATGATTAGTAGATGACACCTATCAATTTTGAGATCACCAGGTCAAAGGTCAAGGTCACGGGCCTTGACATCAAAACTTGTCCGCCCAATAACTTAAGATTCCTTTGACCCACAGTCTTCATATTTGGCATGGACGTTAGTCATGATTAGTAGATGACCCCTATTGATTTTGAGGTCACCAGGTCAAAGATCAAGGTCACAGGGGCCTTGACATCACAATGTTTGTCCGCCCAATAACTTAAGATTCCTGTGACCCACAGTCTTCATATTTGGTACGGAGGTTAGTCATGAATAGTAGATGACCCCTAATGATTTTGAGGTCACCAGGTCAAAGGTCAAGGTCACAGGGGCCTTGACTTCAAAAAGTTTGTCCGCCCAATAACTTAAGATTCCTTTGACCTACAGTCGTCATATTTGTCATGGAGGTTAGTCATGATAAGTAGATGACCCCTATTGATTTTGAGGTCAACAGGTCAAAGGTCAAGGTCACAGGAGCCTTGACTTCAAAAAGTTTGTCCGCCCAATAACTTAAGATTCCTATGACCCACAGTCTTTATATTTGGCATGGAGGTTAGTCATGATTTGTAGATGACCCCTATTGATTTTGAGGTCACCAGGTCAAAGGTCAAGGTCGCAGAGGCCTTGACTTCAAAAAGTTTGTCCGCCCAATAACTTAAGATTCCTATGACCCACAGTCTTCATATTTTGCATGGAGGTTAGTCATGATTAGTAGATGACCCCTATTGATTTTGAGATCACCAGGTCAAAGGTCAAGGTCACAGGGGCTTTGACATCTAAAAGCTTGTCCGCCCAATAACTTAAGATTCCTTTGACCCACAGTCATCATATTTGGCATGGAGGTTAGTCATGATTAGTAGATGACCCCTATTGATTTATAGGTCACCAGGTCAAAGATCAAGGTCACAGGTGCCTTGACTTCAAAAAGCTTGTCTGCCCAATCACTTAAGATTCCTTTGACCCACATTCTTCATATTTGGCATAGAGGTTAGTCATGATTAGTAGATGATCCCTATTGAGTTTGAGGTCACTTGGTCAAAGGTCAAGGTCACAGGGACCTTGTCAAAATAAAGCTTTTCCCCTCAATTGCTTCAGAATGCCTGTCCAGAGTGTATTGATTTTGACATTTTCTCATTTGAAGCATGTAGAATACATAACTTAGCAATGCACTGGCTTAGTAACCTCAGATTCGGCAGGGAGGTTGTCATTGAGTTCTAAATGACCACTGTTGATTCTGACAAAGTGGTATGCGGGGGTATTCACGCCATGAAAGTGGCAGTTCTAGTTTATATTGATTTTAATGCAATTTTCTTTTCGGCAGTCCATCTACCTAGGGAACTAGCTTACCCAGATAACTATAACTAGTAATTACCAATTCCGGACTGACTTATTCCACATGATTGCCAGCTAATTGCACACGATTTGTGAATCATTGGTGAGAGGCAAATGACCTTTTACACTCAATGTCACATAGAAATGTTGCCTTGCCCAAGGATAAATTACAAATCTTATGCTTTCCCTATTGACCTAAGGGCGGACAGAAGCAAGACTTAATTATTGTGTTACAAAGGCTGCTTGTTTTGATGGTAATAAGGTCAATGGTCAAGGTTGCACAAATTCTCCCTTCTTGATAATTCATATTATTTACAGTCATTTTTTGATATTCTCATGTTTCATATTTTTTGTTTTTAAGGCACAAAGTTTGACAGCAGTAGTGGTAGTAATGGGTTTGGATCTTTAACATCAACTCCGGAGAACACTTTAAAACATCGTAGTAACGTAACTGAAGCACGTATCATAAAACTTGTAGACGATTTAAAATTGGCATTAGAACTGTGTGACAATAAGCAACAGATTATACGCAAACTTCCTGACGATGTCCTCACTGCTGTTGTTGCCTGGTTACAAAGTGGGAAAGAAGAGGCCAGCAGGGTAAGACCACTGATTTTTTGTCTTATTTTAAGGATTGGTTACCCCAATGAATCTGTAAATATCGGCTACTGTTCTATAAGGCCAATTATTGGCTAAAAGTAGCAGTCAACACAACACACAGTGATAGAGATAAGTTAGAGGAAGTGCAGTGTTGAAGGATAATAATTTTTTTTAGCTTGACTAGCACATGTATTCAAAGAATAGTAGGGCCATTTTACTCACATGGACGTTTGCGCTGGTGCTGGTGTTGGCGTTGGCGTAGCACTTGCATGCAACATTTTATCACGTCATCCACTTATGATATTTGCTTGTGACTTCACACACTTATTTGAGAGCAGAAGAAAAGGTCACAATCCAAGGCCTATAACTCTAGAATGGTTTTTGACAGAATTATGGCCCTTTATGAACTCAGAAATGTGTTGATTAAAGTTTTGCATGCAACATCAGTCTTATAATGTGATCAAGGTTTTCACTTGAAACTTAAGATCATAAACAGAGTTAACTGTCAAAGGTCTATAATTCTGACATATTTTTGACAGCATTGGCCCTTTTTGAGCTTTGAATTTTTTTTTTAGCTCACCTGTCGGTGAGCTTTTGTGATCGCTATCAGTCCGGTGTCTGCCATACGTTCGCCATCAATCCGTAAACTTTTACTTTAAACAACATCTCCTCATAAACTGCTTACCAGCCAAAATCATCCAAACTTCACAGGAATGTTCCTTTGGTGGTCAACTTTAAAAGTTGTTCAAAGAATTTAATTTCATGCAGAACTCTTGTTGCCATGGCAACCAAAAGAAAAAACATAAAAAATCTTCTTTAAAAAAGCTAGAGCTTAGATATTTTGCATGAAACATTGTCTAGTCAGTGTCTACCAAGTTTGTTTAAATAAAATCCCTGGGGTCAAAACTGGCCCCGACCCGGGGGGTCATTGATTTTCCCTATATGCATATAGTAAAAACTTAAAAAATCTTCTTTTAAAGAACTCAAAGAGCTAGAGCTAAGATATTTAGCATGAAACATGTTCTAATTGGTGTCTACCAAGTTCAAATAAAGCCCTGGTTTCAAAATTGGCCCCGCCCTGGGGGGTCATTGATTTTCCTTATATGTGTATGGTAAAAACTTAAAAAACCTTCTTTTTAAAAACCCAAAGAGCCAGAGTTTAGATACTAAGCACGAAATATATTCTTGTAAGTGTCTACCAAGTTTGTTTAGATCAAAGCCCTGGGGTCAAAATTGGTCCTGTGTGTGAGGGGGGGGGTCCCTAGATGTGTATAGTAAAAACTTAAAAAATCTTCTAATGGGTGTCTTCCTAGTTTTGTAAAGGCCCTTGGGTTAAAACTGGCCCAACCCTGGGGGTCTATATACAGGTGAGTGATTTCGGGGCCATGAAGGCCCTCTTGTTTTTTAAGTATTGCATGCAACTTATTCTTCAAAACAACTAAAGGTATGGATTTTGAATGATCTGAGGCCCTTTGTGAAGTTAACAAAATTTTTTGGTCAATATCAAAGACTCATAACTAAGTCATGTTGAGCCCGCTTGTGGTGAGCATGACTTAGTAGTTTGGTGTATGTGTATCTGTGGGTCTGTCTGTGTGTCCTTCCAGATTTGTGCAGTCTATATCTTGCTTTTTCTATGAAGGATTTCAAAACTATTTGATACAGATATTCACCATGATGGGGTGATGTGTTGCACACAAAACCAAGTTCACAAGTTCACACAAGAACATCAGCGCAAAACCGTTGTCAGGAGTGTAACTTTTACATGCATAGAGGGATTTTAACATAACTTTGGGCAAATATTCTCCAAAGTAAGGCAAAGTGTCCCGAAAAAAATCAGGTTTCTGTGGCAAAGGTCAAGGTCACACTTAGGGGTCAAAGGTCAAATAACAAAATTAAACATTCATTTGTTAGTATAACCTCTTTATGCATGGATGGATTGTAATATAACTTAGCACAAATGTTCTGCATGTTGAGTTGAGTTCTTTTGCACAAAATGAAGGTGGGTCAAGGCCACAAGAGGTCAAAGGTCAAATAAAAATTTAAGATTTTATCTGATCTTTATCTTGCTCATTCTTTGAGGATTACAAAAAACAGTCAAGACTGTTTTTAAGAAACCGACTGGGAATCAAGAAAAAAATAGGGAGTCTCTTAAATCAGTCTTCCCCAACCAGCAGACATTGGTTTTTATTACCTGATACCTTATATAAATGATATTTGTATATTGGTATTTTTTACTGTTTTCTGAAATTCTAAAAACGTCCAGGTTCGAGAACTGTTGACTGGTCAATAGTATCAACTGTTTCCCACGCTTGCTCGGAGGTTATTGATGTCATAGAGGTTTCCCACTTGAAGTGTCCATCCATCTTAATCATAAACCAGACGTGATGTGACAATTAGTTAAAGTATTAAGTTTAACTATTAACATATGTGCAAAACTATTTTCTTGTTCCTTTTTTCTTCTGCAAGTACTATTAAAACAGTAGTTGATCAGGTAATTATAAATACAGTTATTTTATATGTGATTTGGGAACAGTCCAACAGTTGTCCCTCTGTGTCGGGGATATTGTTTTGCACTGTTGCCCGCAGCCTATGGCCAACAGTTTGACTGTTCCCAAAACACATATGAAATAACTGGATAATAGATATATTGTTATGTACTTAATTATTCCAGTGAAACATATGTACATGGTATATAGACCCTTCTTAAGATAAGTGTGATAATTGATTATATATACATATTTCTGAAATTGCATTTTAAAAAGAGGAAAAAATTAAAAATAGTACAATGTAGAAAATTTATGTGGGACGCTTGAGCATGTTTATGGACATGGGCTTGAGAGAGGATACATGTATTGGGTGCTTCTGCACTAACAGAAAAGTCATCAAATCTTTTCATTTAAAAAAACAATTACAAACATCACCTAATTGTTTACTAAGTTGGATGCCAATTGTGTGACATTGTAAATTGATCGCCATATTGTTGTAATATTCACGAGTGCAGGGATTTTCCGATGCTGTTTTTAGAAAATTATCAGACTCAGGCTGCAAGTTAACATCAATTGTACTGAATCAAGGTATCCCTCTAGTGGGTTAATGAATTATTAGCTTTCATTGGACAAACACAGCCATCTATTTTTAAAACAAAACATTTTTTATTCGGTTTATCTTTCATTTTATAGTAGAATTCTTTGCCGGGAGGGGAATTGGGGGGGGTGAGGAAGGTAGTAATTCAGCTTGAGTAGGTACAGCATGTAACCAGATATTGTCAATATCAAAGGGGAAAAGGCCTAGCAAGGTAACGAACTTTACCTTTTTCTTGTAAAAAAAAATCAGGGGAGCATCTAAGACTTGGTAAAAACGGTCTAAAAGGCAAATTGGGAGTTGGATCTACAGTCGCTTGTCGCGTTAGACAGGGAGTCACTTAATTCAGACTAAATTTATAGTCAATTGCTTTGGGGGCATAAAATAGCGTCGCATATGACAGGGAGTCGTTTGAATCAGGGGGTTATAATTAAGGCAGTCTCGACTGTAATCGGTACAAATGTTCACCATGATGGGGTGGTGTGTTGCAAATAAAAAGACTCCGCTGCTCAAAGGTCAAGGTCACACTTGGGGATCAGCACAAAACTTATGTACGTAGCGCAACTTCTACATGCATGGAGGGATTTTAATTATACCCCCAAAAACGAAGTTTGGGGGGGTATATAGGAGTCACCCGGTGGTCGGTTGGTCGGTCGGTCGGTCCAGACGTCCGTTGCATTTTCCTTGTCCGAAGCATAACTTGAAGACTAATGGTTGGAATTCAATATAACTACATACAATGATAAAGCACATTGAGAGGAAGTGCAGTGCACAAGAACCATAACTCTATCTTGACTAATTACAGAGTTACTGCCCTTTGTTACTTTTCCTTGTCCGGGGTATAACTTGAAAACTACTGGTTGGAATTCAAAACAACTTCATACAATTGTCAAACACAATAAGGGAAAGTGCAGTGCACAAGAACCATAACTCTATCTAAAGTAATTACAGAGTTATTGCCCTTTGTTACTTTTCCATTGCTTTCTTTTGTCCGGAGCATAACTTGAAGACTTATGGTTGGAATTCAATATAACTACATACATTGGTCAAGCACATTGAGAGGAAGTGCAGTGCATAAGAACCATAACTCTATCTTGTAATTACAGAGTTATTGCCCTTTGTTACTTTTCCTTGTCCGGGGCATAACTTGAAAAAATTACTGGTTGGAATTCAAAACAACTTCATACAATTGTCAAACACAGTAAGGGGAAGTGCAGTGCATAAGAACCATAACTCTATATAAAGTAATTACAGAGTTATTGCCCTTTGTTACTTTTCCATTCCTTTCTTTTGTCCGGACTATAACTTGAAGACTAATTGTTGGAATTCGTTATAACTTCATACAATGGTCAAGCACATTGAGAGGAAGTGCAGTGCACAAGTACCATAACTCCATCTTGACTTATTACAGAGTAACTGCCCTTTGTTACTTTTCCTTGTCCAGAGCATGACTTGAAAACTACTGGTTGGAATTCAAAACAACTTCATACAATGGTCAAGCACTATAAAGGGATGTGCAGTGCACAAGAGCCATAACTCCATCTTGACTTATTACATAGTTATTGCCCTTTGTTACTTTTCCATTGCTTTTTTTGTCCGGAGCATAACTTGAAGACTAATGGTTGGAATTCAATATAACTTCATACAATGGTCAAGCACATTGAGAGGAAGTGCAGTGCACAAGAACCATAACTCCATCTTGACAAATTACAGAGTTATTGCCCTTTGTTACTTTTCCTTGTCCAGAGCATAACTTGAAAACTACTGTTTGGAATTCAATACAACTTCATACAGTTGTCAAGGACATTAAAAGGAAGTGCAGTGCATAAGAGCCATAACTCCATTTTGACAAAATACAGAGTAACTGCCCTTTGATAATTTTCCTTGTCTGGAGCATAACTTAAAACATACTGGTTGAA